ATTCATGACAACCAGATTCAACACCACCACCCCCAATGGCCTCAATCCTTTAATTATTTTTAGTCAGAGAATGCCAGTTTGCACAACTTCAGAGGCAACCTCTCACACCACATTCTATACAAGACATTTCAATGATGGCTATAAATCTTCTCTACTCTTACTACAAATCCCAAATGTTCTCTCTTCATCATCTAGATTGGTGGTCAGCAAACTGTTGCCTGTGGGCTACATCTAGCAGGCTTTTTTAAATTAATGTTTTATGGAACACAGCCATGTCAATTCATTTACTTATTGTCTATGGCTCATTTCATGCTACAACAGCAGAGTTGAGCAGTGGTGAGAGATTATATAGACTAAAATGCCTAAATACATACGGTCTGGCCCTTTACAGAAAAAAAGTCAACCAACTCCTGAATCCAGATTACAATTTATTAAAGATATAGAGCAAAGGTTTCAAATAACATTCAGTCTGGACCATATAATATGTTGTAGAGCACTGAGTTTTAGTTGCAAACATTAAAAATCTGATTTCATTTATAAACCTAACATTCTAACTTCTCAAAAAAGCAGATTTAGCTACAGTGGGCTCACATTCCTCACAGAGTGTACAGTTTAACTGCCCCCTTGATACTGATGGTACACAGCTCTCCAATTTGCCACAGTTCCCACCTCACCTGCTTTACTCATTTTCATTATTTTCTGATTCTGTGAGCTTAACAGTTTGCAACCTCTCAAATGAAATTATTCATTTGCCTTCTCTTTACTCTTACATACTATGATTGTTCATTTTAGGCTAGGCTATGGTGCCCTGCTACTTGGTCAAACACCAGTTTAGGGCTTCCCTGGTGGCGCAGTGCTTGAGAGTCCGCCTGCCGATGCAGGAGACGCGGGTTCGTGCCCCGTTTCGGGAAGATCCCACATGCCGCGGAGCGGCTGGGCCCGTGAGCCATGGCCGCTGAGCCTGCGCGTCCGGAGCCTGTGCTCCGCAAATGGGAGAGGCCACAACAGTGAGAGGCCCGCATAACGCAAGAAAAAAAAAAAAAAAAAAAAAAAAAAAACACCAGTTTAGATATGGCCATAAGGTATTCTTTAGATGTGATATTTAAATCAATAGACTTTGAATAAAGCAGATTACCCTTCATAATGTGGGTGGGCCTTGTGCAATTAGTTACAGACCTTAAGAGCAAAGACTGAAATCTTCAAGAAGGGAGGTATTCTGCCTTCAGGTTGCCTTCAGCCTCAGCACTGCAATATCAACTCTTCCCTGGGTCTCCAGCCTGCATGCCAGCCTCACAGATTTCAGACTTGCCACAATCGCATGAACCAACTCCTTTAAAATAAATATCTCTCTGTATATAAATGAACATTCTATTGGTTCTGTTTCTCTCTAGAACCCCACCTAATACACATACCTACAACCTCATCACCAGCTTTTCTGTATCAAAGGAAAAAGGGCCTTCCTTCTTTCCAAGGCAAATGATGTCTTTTTGTTCATTTATAGCTCACTCTTGGTCCTGTATGAAGTCCAGCCAAACTGGCTTATAGTACCATAAAAAAGTCTACTCTCTTACATCTATGAACTTTTGCTCAAAGCATACAAGCAGTGTTTTTTTTGCCTTTCTGCTTTCTCAAATTTTACTTATTCTTCAACCTCAAGCACAACCCCCATCTGCTTTGTAATGGCTACCCTGGTTACTGCATCTAAAACAAATTTGTCCCTGCTATCGACTCCTGTATTACTTACTGTCTGTACAGTTTTTAGTAATTACTCTATTGTGACATTATGCCTTAGTGTCTTTTAAGTCTCATATTATTTTTAACTATTAATGAGTTTACATTTAATCTCCCTTACTAGATTGCAAACTCCTGGAAGCTAAGGATTGTGTTCAAAACGTTGTCCTAGGGACTTCCCTGGTGGTCCAGTGGTAAAGAATCTAATCCGCCTTACAATGCAGGGGATGCAGGTTCGATCCCTAGTGGGGGAACTAAGATCCCACATGCCGCGGGGCAGCTAAGTCTGCGTGCCTCAACTAGAGAGCCCACGTACTCTGGAGCCCACGCGATACAACTAAAGAGAGAAAAAACCCAGCACGCCACAACTAGAGAGAAGCCCATGCACCTCAACGAAGACCCTGTGTGCCGCAAAAAATAAAAATAAAAAAAATCCTGTATGCTGCAAGGAAGAGCTGATGCAGCCAAGATAAACAAACAAACAAACAAAACTTTGTCCTATCTCTAGAATCTATCTAACACCATGCCTACCATCTAAAAGACACAGTTTTGAAAATCAGAAGGCCCCTGAAGTTAATTGGTATAATACTACTTTCTGGATAGAACAAAGCAAGGAGTTGCTCTATCATTAGTTCTTTTCTCTTCTTCCCTTCCTTCCTTTTTCACTTCTTTCTTCCCGTCTTCCCTCCATCCCGCTCTTTCTTAAGAGTCCCCAAGGTGCTAGAAGGAATCAGCAACCAGCACAGCTCTGCCATCAGTCCTACTGAGTTTCTGGAGTCAGTACTCTTGGGGCAAGAATACTAGACAATGTATGCTTGATGAAAGCAGAGAACTTATCTGCTTTATTCTAGTTTATCTATTTTATCTGTTCAGTAACAAAAACAGAACTTGGCAGAAAGTAGGTGCTCAAATATTTGTTAAAAGAACTGTTCCATTTATAAACAATGAAACAGAATAGCCACTGTTTAAATGACTATATTAAAGCACTTTAGATTATTTGGCCTTAGATATCTTTCAGCTATTTGTGGTTAGTCAAAGACCATTATTTTTAAACTTTACCCTTATTTCTTTAATCAGAGGTGACAACTGTGTTTTACTCTATATACTTGATTTTTCACTATGACATTTTATCTTTATCTCATATAAATCTGCATACTAATTAGGCTGTACTTTGGCAGGCAGCTAATCCAACCCTACACACTTCAATATACTCAGTAACTATCTAGTGGTTAGATGACATCAGTAGAACAAATTATAATACTTCAACAAAAGAAAAATACTATTTCTTCTGTGACCGATACTTTGGTGATGATTAAATATACATATTTTAATATAAATGCAACAATATACTTTAACATAAGTGGTGGTAAAGTATAGTCTTGAAGATCTTTATAAAAAAAGAAATTTGTAGTTAAACATATTAGGTAAATTACACATATATCAAGTAGATTTCCAAAGCATATTTGTTTCAAAAGCCCATAGAAACTTTTGTTGTAATTCATGACTAGATAATAACTTTAAAAATTGTAATACAGGACTAGTCGTACCTTTGTTTATGAAATTTTCTAATTTTAGATTCATAGTAATCAATTAGGCAAAGCAACCTAGAAAAGAGGTAAGTTGAATTATTTTCAAAATGTGGTATTGGAACATTTACTAGTCTCTCTATACAATTTCAAATTACAGTGATAAACATACATGTTATCTGCAAATTTATAAAAAATTTAAGTGATTTTTGCCAGAAGCAAGTATCACACTATGCCATATATTTTAATTTTAATGTATATATTTTTAAATAACCACAGACATTAAATCTCAACATATTAAATGCATATTGTCCAAACAGTTCTACCTCTAGCAATCACTCCCACAGAAATATGTGCCTAAGGCTGTAACTCGAGATGAACAAAGTTGCTTGATGCACCATTATTTATGAGTGAAAACTCAGAATCTAAATATTTGTCAACTAGGGAAAAGTTAAATAAATAATGGCACATCCATATTATAGAAAATGATGAGGCATGAGAAGAGACAATGTAAATTTGTACATCCTAATGAGAACTGATAAGGTTAAAAAATGTTGCATAGCCAAATGTATAATATTACTCTATTTTTTTAAGAAAATAGTTATAAATGAATCTGTATATGTATTGAAAATGAACTCTATGGGTTCTTAACTGAGGGATAATACCACAACTAGGGGACACTGTTGGTTGCCACACTGAATAGTTGGTGAGGGGGCAACGATGCTTAAAAGTTCATCAATGAACATGATGAATGCTCATCATGCCCTACACAATGAAGAATGGTCCCACCCAAAAGCCAACAGCACTATTGCTGTGAAACACTAGGAAGAACAAAAACCAAACTGTCAAAAGTGGTATCTCTGGGATGTGGAAATTAGGAGGGGTAAGCAGGTCTATAACATTTTACTTTACATACTTTTATATTGTTTGAATTTCTAAAAGCACATATTGCTTTTGTAATTCAAAAAATCCTCAAAGAAAAATAAAATAACACTATACTTTCACATATTATTCTTTTTAAAGCAAGAATGTATAGTATTTCACTCCTATCTTGGGAAACTTACCCATCTCCTTTTTTTCAGAGCTAATTCAACCAACTGTGCTTTTAATATCATAACTTTCCAGATTATTCTTTCTCTTCAACTTTCCCCATCCCAACACATACCAGCTTTCATATTATCCTGCAAATATGCTTTAATTTCCTTTATATACTTCACAAGCCCTCTCACCCCTTCCTTCCCCCATGCTACCATTCCATTTCTATCTTTTTCCTTCATGGCAAACTTCATTCATCCTGAATGATTGTTACCTCTACCTTCAATAAACTTTTAAAGAGGACTTACCGGGAATTCTGAGCAAATAAGACAGTGGGAAGGCAAACACAAACCAATGAGGTGGCATGTAACACTTCTTACCACCCTCTCCTTCTTCAAACACTCTTGTTCCTTGGTTAGCCTGACACCCAAACGTAACTCCTCTCTTCTGTCTCTTCTTTCTCTCTCTAAATTTTAAAGTTCTCTGGAGTTCAGCCTTTCTAACTGTAGGCCTGATATCTCTCTGTGGCTGACGTAAAGTGCCTAATGTTCGTAAATGAACCCATTATCCTCCTTCCCCTTGAAATCTGGCTATCTTTGACTGTTCTCCTTCTTTCAACATCTACAGTCAGTCAGTCTAGACAATTCCTGTCCATCTCTGCAGTATCTCTCTCCTTTCTTTTTTCTTTGTAGACCTCTGTTATCTACCAACTAGACTATGAAAACTGATCACTAATTTGTCTGTCTCTGGGTTTAATTTTTTTGCTCATAAATCCTGGGCTTTTTTAATCCTGCTACACAGAAAGTAGAACCTAAACTCTTCAGCCTGGAGTTGAAGCCCCTCAAAGTTTCAGCACACCTTTCCTTCCATACTGTCTCCTAAGATACCATCACCTTGTGCACCCTACGCTCCAGACCTCTCAGACTACCTGGACTACTTGCCACTCCCAAATACATTTTGTTTCCCAGCCACCATATTTCTCTAACTAGAATACCCTTTTCCTCATTAACGTCTATTAAAACTCTACAATTCCTCTTGGACATGCACTAGAACACAGCAGGGAATGACACGGAGTCTTTGGCTTCATTGAGCTTACAGCATCGTGGGGAATACAGATGCCAGAACAAATTAATACAAGTGTAATGAGAATTACAACACACAAAATTCAAACTACCATCAACTGCTCCCTTTAAGGAACATGATATGTCTTCCTGTCTGCAAATAAATTTTAAAGCATTCGTCTAGGACTTCAACACACCTCAGGAGAATTGTTCCTGGGTATTGCATATTTACTGTTATGACTGTGTATGGAATTTTCCTCCCATTACATTTTCTGCCAGGTTATTATTGGTGTAAAACAAAAGCTATTGATTTTTACAGATTTATTTTGTAAACTGGACACCTTATTAAACTCTTTTATTGTGTTAAAAAAAAAATTCTACAGTTCCTAATAATCTAGTTTACAAGTTACCTCCTTCATGAAGTCTTTCTGGTCATCTCCATCTTTCTCAGTGGAAACTAAGCTCTCCTTATGCCACGCCCAGTTAGTATCCTGTCTGCCTTACCATTACAGCACATACCGATGTGCCTTTTATTTTACTTACCTGAGTATGTGTCTATTTACCCAACAAGCTATCAGGTCCATAAATGCAGCAAACATGGCTTTACTCATCTGTGTATGTACTATACTATTTTGTCCAATGCCTTTGTAACTTTTGACAATAGCTGTAGTGGCTACAACTGATGCATTTTTATTTAAGGGTTAATTCACAATTTTTAAGTTCTGTGCTCAGACTGAAAATTTGTTTTATTAAAAACCAAATAAAGTGGAGAATCTCTAGGCCATCAGACAAATTCACACCTGAATTAGCTTGACTTCATCTGGTACTTGGTAAGTTTTCTCAATACTTCTCTCCCTTTTTCTTGCCCTCTCACTCACTCAAATTGCCTGTTATTTTGTTTTTGTTTTCATTCTTCTTCCTCCATCTCTCTTCTTACCTTATTCTCCCACTGTAATTATCTCTCTCCTTCTTTTTGTTCTTCCTTACTCCTATTTTCCTTTCTTTGCTTTTCTATTTATTCACACCTACCTCCAACTACATTTTGTTATTTAAATTATTTATTATTTATATTTTTATCCTTGTTCGTCCTTCAAAAGGATAAAAATTGTATATATATTTGTGTACATGTATATGTGTGCATTATCTCTCAAATAATTATTGAAACAATCTATAGTTTCAACTTGTTTTTAACTTATATGTGACTTCATTTATTTTTATAGTATAAAACAGACATACCTAATTAGTAAAAATCCCCAATCCTACTATGTAAACACATAAGACTAGTTAAAATGTAACTAGTTTATACTATTAAGTGAAAAGAACAAGGTGCTATCTTTTATACAAAGAAATATAATATCCATACTGTTTGTATTTGCTAAAAATAACACTAAAAAAATTATCTATAGGGAGAAGTAAGGAATAGGTTAAGGGGATGGGAATGAAAACAAAACCTCTCCAAATATAAATAATTACAATTTTGACTTTATAATTGTATAAACATCTTACATATTCAAAAGTAAATAAATTTAAAAAGCCAGCCCTAAAAACTGAAAACAAACTGAAACAAGTAAACCTAACTGTATATTAATTTGGTGCCACAAACACACAGAAAAGAAATATTTCAAGATATTTTAGAACACTATATTTTGACTGTACCCAGAGTGGAATATATTATTAATGTCGAAGATAATTGCAAAGAAATTTAAATTTCATTCAGTTGGTTTATTGTTAGTAGCAATACTGGTATTATTATTTTGAAACTACTTTTCTATATTATAGGATAAAGCAACTAAATAATTATGATATTATTCTTAGGAATAAGGATTTTCAGTGTAAAAAAAAACTGTTACAAATGTAAAATCAGAGTTTAAATAAAAACCCAGTAGTGTTAACTTCAGTTAGAAATTTTTCTCAGAAATATATATAGTTCCTGATACTTGCCACTAAAAAGCCCTAAAATCAATGACAGCATAAGATAAGCAACCTAAACACTCAAACTGTGGTCTCTAAAAACCATTCCTGACTAAAAGGAACCAGAGCTCTTTTGAGAAATGTCTAATTAATTCATTTTAAATGAGTTAATTTTAAATGTTTAGTGTTAGTTTTAACAAATACCTAACTCCATTCCTCAAAAGAGCTCCTAGGGCAAAAAAATGTACAGGATGTATCTTCTGCCTAAAAGTAAGAAATCTAACAAAGATTAATGGAGTTGGGTCTAAGGGATATAATACCAACATGATAAAGATCCCACCGGCCAAAGACAAGATAATTTGGTCATTAAAACCCCACAAGTTAATAACAACCTTTGAAAAAAGAGAGATAGGCACAAACCAAAAATCTTATTATCATTGGAGATCATTAGGACAACCACTGCTTTCTCTGAAAAATTAGAATTAAAATGAAAGAACTGAGCATTGCGCTTCCCTGTAACAAACCATATAGGGCAACCAAATAGCCCCTATTCAAAAGGAAAGGTTCTTTTTTTAAATGGAAGACTTCCAGGAAAAAAAGAAAAAGAAAACAAAGGGATAGCAGAATTGAAAATAAGATCATCAATGGGGGAAACCATTAGATGAAAGGATGATGAGAAATTTTATAGTGGAAGGATCAGATTGTTATTATTTAAACCCCTGAACAATCTTATCATCCCTGAGAGTAGGTCAACTAGACATTATGTGCCTCCTGATATGTTATAATTAGAAGCATAAATTACCACCTATGAAGTATTTCGCCAAAAATACTTGCATCTGAATTTAGCTCTAACTTCCAGTTTAGAGGCAACATAGGAGATAGAAGAATAAATTAAATGACATAGTAAGGAAGCAAACAGACAAATCTAGCATGTACTTCTCCAGGACAACTGACCATTTTCTTCAAAAAGTTAATGACATTTCAAACAAACAAACAAACAGCAGAGAAGAGGGAGAGGAATACTTCACCAGTTTAAAAGAGATATAACCACACCCAAGATGAAATCTGTTTTTAAAAAAGTGATGACTCTAGCTACATATCAATTTACGTAGCAAACATTACTGTCTATCCAAGATGGTATGAGGAACTCTCTTGCAGAGATAGGAGAACACTCTGTTTTGAGTGATGATGCGCTCTTCGTCCTCCTTTGTTAATCTACAGATATCCTTCTGCAAAGAAGCAATAGTCTCTTGTTGCTCCATTCGTTTTTTCTTATAATGTTCACATTTTGCCTGTAAGAAATTTTTCAAAAAACATAATTACGATATATACATCAAGGACATGCTGTCCTAACAATATTGTACACAAAGCTATCCTCACAATTTCTATCAGGCTGCTTCATTCAAGAACTTCAGTACTGAGCCTGCTTTTAAATGGGTGCAAGCTCCAGGAACACTGATATGTCAGAAATGCAAAAACTATAACAAGTAAAATCAGTGTAAAATGGGGAAAATATAGCTTATAATTGCATGCATTCAAGGTTTCATAATAAGTAAAAGAACTCAATCTCCATAAAACTGATATAATTTTATATATATGTTTAGATGAAAATAACAATCAGAAAGAGATCAATATTAAGGATGTCAAAAAGAACCAAGAATTAAAATTGAAATTCTTAAGTGATCAACGATAATTCAGGATTTCAGATGGTTTAATCATCTTAGGCATTCATGTAATGTGGTAGACTGCAAACTCAGAGAAACCAGGAATTTGTTCAGAAATAATATGTACCCCAAGATTTATACAAGGGAATGTAAATCTTGAATACTCTCTTGCCTTCAGTGAGATATCACCGGCCTGGTTTTCCTTTATTCGATAGTTTCCACCTCTCAGTGTCCTTAGAAAGCTCATAATCAACAGTACCAGCATTGTTATTATTAATACACTTTTTATAAAGCTCAGTGAGAAACCCTATCCCCATCTGGCCTGCACAATACTAAGACACACCACTTTCAGAAGACAATGCCATATCTAAGCACATGTTCACCTGGCAATAGGCTCAAGTTTGCACAGTCTTAAGAGACCCTCAGGGGAAAAAGGAGACTCAGCTCCTGGTACCATACCATCTGTCAGTAACTGCCAGCTATACCCAGAACTTATCCTCTGCCTCAGCCCCACCTTGGAAACCAGGCAGGAGCTCTACAGCCACATGACTTGGGTCCCAATTCCATCTCTATAAATTAGCCATGAAGCTAGAATGATTGAATTTTTCAAGGTTGCAGGGTGTAAAAGCAAGATACAAGAATCAACTGTATCTCTCCTAAGACATTCTATGAGGTTACTGTTACCCTAATACCAAAACCAGACAACACACAAAAAAGAGAACCACAAACCAATATCCCTTAAACAATGATGCAAAAACTCAACAAAATACTAGCAAACCAAACTCAGCAGCATATTAAAAGGATGATACACCGTGACCAAATGGGATTTATTCCTGGAATGCAAGAAAGGGTTTTTCATACGTTGAACCAATGTAATAGACTACATTAACAGAATAAAAGGAAAAAAAACATGATCATCTCAATTGATGGGGTCTGTGTGCTGCAACTACTGAGGCTGTGTGCTGCAACAACTGAAGCCCACGTGCCTAGAGCCCGTGCTCCACAACAAGAGAAGCCACTGCAATGAGAAGCCGTGCACTGCAACGAAGAGTAGCCCCTGCTCGCCACAACTAGAGAAAGCCCAGGCACAGCCACAAAGACCCAACGCAGCTAATAAATAAATAAATAACAAAACGACAAAAACACAAAACAAAACAAAAAAAACCAAATTGCCTAAAGGCTTGGGCCTCTGAGATAATACCCAAAGACCCACAGGAATAAAAGATTCTCTCTGTTCCACTGATGTTATGTACATAGTTTCCAAAAGACAAAAGTGGGACTATAAATCTGCCATACAGCAGAGTCACTGAACTCCCAGTCCCCTGACAGATACAGACAAAGGCCTGACACACATTCCTAAGTTATTTTTGCAGGAAGCAGACCCCCACCAGAGGAAAACTTCTGACTGCAAGCACGTAGACACCAGACTGGTTGAAACTAGAAGGTTGATGATACTTGAAACTTCACCTTGATGCCAACTAGTGCAAGAATTGAGCACAAGCTGATCAGGCACTGTGCGGCCCCCTCCCTCACCCGGCCTTTAAAACCCTTTCCCTGAAAGTCCTCAAGGAGTTGGCACTCTTTTCCGCCTTCTCCCTTGTGCTCAAGCTATCCTTTCAATAAAAAGCTTTGCTTGCCTAAGAATCTTGAGAGGGCAATATTCATTTCTATGGTATTGCTGTCCAAGAATCTGGAGAGGGCACAGTAACAATTTTAACAGCCCATGCCATCCTTCCTATATCTCTTTCCTCCCTACCTAGATATCAGTTACTTATAAGGCAGTCATGTATTAGGAATATCTTGCTGACTTTAATATACATTAGATCTATTTTTTCATTTGGCCCTAAAAAACATTCAATTTCATGGCTCCCTGTGTATTTTAGAAAGCTAAAGTCAATAGAGGAATCCAACACAAAATAAAAAAAAAAAATTGAAGCTAAAGAACTTGTGGAGAAGTGTAAAAAAGAGCTTCGTGGCTTTACACCAGATAGTTTGGATAATACATAATAATTAGGGCACAGAGTATAGAGCTAAATTTTTTTCCTGCTTTTTAAAAGTTTAAATAATAACAGGAAGGAAGTATTTTGTGCTATTTCAACTGTCAGCAGTACATGTATGGAGAGAAAATAAAAATAAATATGGAATTGAAATATACAACAATAATGTAAGTTGGAGAATGTCAAAAATTGTTTTATGATTGTTACAATGTCATGGAATAAGGTAAAAAATACAAAGTAAAATTACATTTTGAGAAGTCAGGAGTGCATATTTTAATCTTTGAGTTAACCACTAAAAGAATAGTAAAAATCAGTTTCCTGATCCATATACTCTCTATGAAGAAAGAAAAGGGAGAACTACCTGATACTGTTCACATTGACTTAAAACTGAAATTTTCTGCTTAGATCTTTAGAGGACCCAAAAGTTTATCAAACTTTATCCACAGAAGCTAAGTACAGAAAAAGGGAAACTGTACTGAAGAACATAGAAACTGCAAATACAATGTTGTCTTTTAGTTTCTGCATTTCCCCAGCAATCTCTCAACAGCAATCTTTCAAAATATTATTGTCAAACATGTTAATTTCCTAGATCTCTTTGCCACATACACACAAAATCAATGTTTCCTTTCTCTCAACTGCAAAATATGCAGCACTAAACCATTCTAAAATTGGAAACAAGCATATGCCAAAAAAAGAAAAATGTGCCTCAAACTGTGAAATAATTGTTCTCCAGGAGCACTTCCATCTTCCCCAAGAAAGCACAGATTGACTAGTACAGTACAGAATATATGACTAGTCTGTAACAGAACTGGACAATCAGGCAACATTGAGGGGCAGCAGTTCCTTGGGTTTGCCAATTTCTGTTACATTCTATAAAAAGTACCCTTTAGGTACTTAAAAAACAAACAAGCAAGCAACTAATTTCAGTTGATCAAAATAGCATAGACACCCTACCCCAACACCAGGTTTTCACATCCCAATCCTAATTCTGTCTGTCCCCCACGGCAGACTGGAACATGAGACCTCCTCTGTACCAATTTATAAGCTACATAACAAATCTCTGGGACCTGAAACAAAAAGTTAATGGCCCATAATTCATTTAAAACAGATGAACTACTTGACAGAAAATACATGCCACTCCAAGTCACTTCTTACCAATGAATCCTCAAGCATCTATTCTTTCAACTGCCTAAAACCGTGGTACATTCATAAGTCTTATATTTTAATAATTTGACTTTGTGATTTTTTATAGATCAACCTCTAAAAAAAAATAGGCATCGTCCTTAAAAAAAAACAACACTGCTCTCCCCCCACCTCATCTCCCTCTGTCAGTACCACGTGATGGCTGCTTTCTCACATCAGTAAGTTGATGAGTTAAAGAGCTTCAGGTTTCCGCATGGTCCTATATCTGAGAGCAAGGTCAAAATCAAATGCATACAGAAATATTTCCAAAATCCCCCTCCCTGTAGAGAGAGTTTGAATGTACCATTGATGAGGAAAGCAACCTAACAAAGCAAACCTAAAAATGTAAAGTTCTGGGCTTCCTTGGTGGCGCAGTGGTTAAGAATCCGCCTGCCAGTGCAGGGGACACGGGTTCGAGCCCTGGTCCGGGAAGATCCCACATGCCGCAGAGCAACTAAGCCCGTGCGCCACAACTACTGAGCCTGCACTCTAGAGCCCACGAGCCACAACTACTGAGCCCACGTGCCACAACTACTGAAGCCCACATGCCTAGAGCCCGTGCTCCACAACAAGAGAAGCCACTGCAATGAGAAGCCCGTGCACCACAACGGAGAGTAGCCCCCCATTCGCCGCAACTAGAGAAAGCCCGTGCCCAGCAACAAAGACCCAACACAGCCAAAAATAAATAAATAAAATAAATAAATTTATTTTTTTAAAAAAAGTAAAGTTCTAACAGTAAAAGATTTTGTTGACTGATGAATAACAGAAACAGACTTGGCCATCAAAAAATGACAGTGTCTTCTCCAGAACGATGATCAATACCAGCAGGTAGAGCACTGTCCACCCCAAGCTGGCAGCCTAAGTGAGGGCAGAACACCAACTGTCTGAGGCCTCATACCAGAACTTCTTAGTATCTCTGGCTGACTCTCTCTGGCTCCTGAAATTTATATTAACTCATCAGATCCTTCCAATGCTGCCAGTATAAACTGAGAGGACATCCAGATGCTGCCTGAGGAGTAGTGGTCCCTTTAAGGCAGCCTGAACTCTCTGTGTGCAATAGGTACATACAGTGTTGTGCCGACAAAAAGCATTTATAATGATATAATGTTTCTAAGTATCTGTAATGTCTCATAAAACTAAATACAAAAAATTTATTTCGTTTAATCATAATAAACACCAGAGGTTTGAAATAAGAGGTTTTTTACATTAGGAAATTAAGTATTCAGTGTTATAACACTGTTATTTCAATAAAAAGTAATAAAACAACTTAAAATCACAAAGTATATTCCATATAAATGTTATGTAAATTTAACTCAATAATTCAAGTATTTATTGAGCATCTACAATAATAAAGCAGACACTTTATTAGCCCTAAACAAAATAGACAAAACTATTTGCCCTCATGGAGCTTACATTCTAACACAGAGAGATATATAAACAAAACAAAGTGTATATAGTATATTAGCATGTTAGATGGTGCTAAGGACTATGGATAAAACAAAGCATGGAAGGCAATATGATATGCGGGGGATAGGACTGACAACTGTAAGCAAAGTAGTCAAAAAAGGAATCCCTGAGAGATTGTGATGTGACACTTGAGTAAGGAGACAGAAAACAAACCATGCAGCTATCTTTAAAAAAGCATGCATGGCAGAGGGAAAAGATAGAACAAAATGTACAAAATCCCTGAGGTGAGAATGGTCAAGGAAAATTTCAAAGAAAAGCAAGAATATCATTGTGGCTGGAGCAGAATATGCAAGAGGTATAGTAGATGAAGTCAGAAGGTAACACGGGGCCAGATCATGTAAGCCCATGGTAAGAGTTTTGGATTTTCCTCTTAAAAAAAAAAAAAAAAAGGAAAGTCATTGGAGTGTTCTGAGCTACTATGTTGAGAACACATTGAAAAAGGCAAGGGTGGGAGTAGGGAAACCAAGAGAGAAGCAGGAAAGAAATGAAGGTGACTTGGACCAGAATGGAGACTAAAAGAAGAAAGTTTGGGGAGGAAATTCAGGAACTCAGTTTTAGACATGTAAAAAAGTTCTAGATGTCTATTAGACATCCAGTAGAGATATCAAGTAGATATCAAGTGCAGGATGTGAGTCTGAAATTAAGGGAAGAGGTGTGCACTATGGATTTAAAAGTGCTGTGAATTAGACTGAGCATCACCAAGGGAGTTAGAATCTATAGGAAAGAGAAAGGTCTGGGGAATCCAACACTAAGAGGTTAGGAAGACGAGAAGAATCAGCAAAGGAGCTGAAAAATAACCAGGATGTTCTGGAAACGAAGGAAATAAAGTATTTCAAGGCAACGACAATGATAGGTCAAGTAAGATAAGGACCACTGAATTAAGCAACACGAAGTCACCTGTAACCCTGACAAGCTGTCTTAATACCATCATGTAAGAAAATGTTTAGCTCAGTACCTGTAAAGCTGTATGCTCCTTTTGAAGTTCTTTTATTTTATTCTGTTGCTGGCAAACCCTATTTAGGGATTCATCCTCCATTTCACCAATTTTGGATTTCACACTCCCCATAATTTGTTCCAAGTCATTAGCTCGTTGTTCCTGATCTGCTGCTCGGCTGTGTTGTAGCTGAAGTTCATTTCTAATAACAGACACACAATTCCTTCCCTTAGTAATAAAAATAAAACATATCAACAAACATATCCATCTAACAACACAATGAGTTTCTAAAATTTCTTTGCATTCTTAAAATTTCTATCCTATAACACAAACCAACTGAAGAAATATAGGATACCATTACATATATAAGCTAAGCTATTACCAAAAGATTTACCTACTAAAAACATTTTTAATTTAATATTTAATCAAACTGGAAAATTAAATTTCAAGATTTTTTTCAAGGGAATTATTTTTAGAATGCATACCACTTGTACACAAACAACTGAAAAGAGATCTTTTTTTTCCAATTTCTTACTTAAGCTGCTTATTAGTTTCTATGAGCTCCCGGATCATGTTCTGTTGACGTGATGTTTCTTCCATCAAAGTTTTTAAATTCTCCCTCATCCTTTGTGATGACTGCTTGTCAAAAATGATGAGATCTACATTTTTTGAAATGTAATACACATAGTAAAAATAAAGATAAGGAAAAAAATTTAACATCAAAAATTTTTTAACAGAAAAAGAACATTTTTATCTTAAGAAGCAAGAATAGGACCTGATTACCTTTCGTATCTGTTCTTTTGACTAGAGATAAAGGTTTTAAGCCATGCATCAGCAACAGCACGTTTATGCTTTCCCATTCTGCTTCTTCCCGCTACAATTACGAGGGAGAAAAGGATCAACTTTAAGATATAAGGTGAAGAAATACCCTTGTATATAATTTCCTTTGTTTCCAGAATAACACATTTTTTCTCCAAAAGCTTTAATAGGAATTTTTATACATATAATGATTAAAATTTAAACAAATTTGTTTCTAACAAAATTAAGAGACTAAAAAGGATGCAAAGAAGCACAGATAGTTACATTATATAATTCCAGAATACTCATATATAGGCCTTCATGGATAAATTAAATAAAAATTAAAAACCTTGTAATTTCAGTGAAACAAACAATTTAGGTTTTTGGCTTTTTGTTTTTTTAAAGTCTTTATTGAATTTGTTACAATATTGTTTCTGTTTTATGTTTTGGTTTTTTGGCCGTGAGGAATGTTGGTTCTTAGCTCCCCAACCAGGGATCGAACCCACACCCCCTGCATTGGAAGGCCAAGTCTTAACCACTGGACCACCAGGGAAGTCCCGTCATCAGGTTTTTTATTTAACTGAACGAGACCAGGCCCCAATCAAAATAAAAAGCTGCAAATTAGGTTATATTAATTGAAGAGTAAAGAAAGGTTGAGTCACTAAGAAACAAGTGTCACTTTAATCCTGACTAGGGTCACAGCAAAATCAAAACATATCTGACTTAACAGAGCCAGTAATTTAGATAGAACTTATCCATTATACAAGGAACTAACTATGAAAAGGAGTCTGCCCATCCAGGTAACTGATTCTAGTCGAATCATTCTGAAAGACACTCAAGTTTTGTATTGCTGATTCTAAGTATGTATTTACACCATAAACCTGAGAGGGTAACTCTCACTCTCTAGATTAAAAAAAAATAAAAACTAAAATAAATAAAAACCTAACAATGGGAAGAAAAATAAGAACATAAAATACAGATAAGAACAGAAATGGAGATTTTTTTTAATGACACATTTAAATCCATGATCTTAACAGTTTTATAACAGGCTCTTAATTTAAGTACAATGATCAATTTTGAAATCACTGTGTGAGGTACTTTGTGTTCTTTTTTAAAATACCTTAAGTATCTTATTTATTTGTGAAAACATAATTTGAGTGAATTTTCAATCTATTTAAATGCTTGAAAAAATATATTTTATACATTTTCATTAGTGTAGAGTACATAAATATAATAACTTCAAGATTAATAATTTAGACAACTTCTCCCACCCACCTAGACAATTTTTAAAAGTATTCTCCACATCCAAATGTCCCTCAGACATTAAAATATCTACCAAGATAGATAAGCAACAAGGATACACCACATAGTTAGAGAATTATAACCATTATCTTCTTTTATATATATATATATATTCACGGGCCCAGCCACTCCGCAGCATGTGGGAACTTCCCAGACCGGGGCACGAACCCGTGTCCCCCACATCGGCAGGCAGACTCTCAACCACTGTGCCACCAGGGAAGCCCTTATAATATTTTTTAATGGAGTAAAATTTGTAAAAATACTGATTCACTGTGTTGTACACCTGAAACTAATATAGTACTGCAAATCAACTATACTTCAATTTAAAAAAATCTATCAAGACAAAAAACAAATTATTATGATGACTCTCTGATAGCACTATGACTCACAGTGCCAAACAAATCTTTCCTTTTGACTGCTTTCTTCTCTTTCTTTATCCTTTCTATAATTCTCCTCCCTCCCACAACCTTTTCCCTTATTTATGTCTTCTGGTTACAAAGATTAATGACACAGAACTAAAATTATTGCTGATAAGCCAAAAGCTCTGTGTGAGTATATAAGTGGATGCCTACTATGACTCATAAAAACAAAATGCTCTATAAATAACAATGTCACACATTTTGAATGACCCAATTACACATATCGTTCTTCGATAGCTCTTTTAAGAGAAAGAAAAACATAACTGTTTGCAAATTCTGAACTGTTTGCAAATTCTGAAAATAGCTGAGAATGGTATTTTCCGAAGTATGTGATGCAGAACACCAGTCTAATGAAATATTCATCAGATTAGTGTTAAATAAGTAGGAAATACTGTATACTAAAGCCTCTTTTTGGAGACTGATAGTACAGTAAGTCCCCTACATACAAACGAGTTCTGTTCCGAGAGCATGTTCGTAAGTCCAATTTGTTCTTAAGTCCAACAAAGTTAGCCTAGGTACCCAACTAACACAATCGGCTACACAGCACTGTACTGTAATAAGTTTCTAATACTTTTCACACAAATAATACATAAAAAACAAACAAACACAAAAAATACAGTACCTTGAAAAGTACGCTAGTACAGTACAACAGCTAGCATATAGGGGCTGGTATCAAGTAAAGGGCAGGAAGAATTACTGACTGGAGGAGGGAGAGGAGGTGGGAGATGGTAGAGCTGAACGATCGATCGTCAGCAGCAGGAGACGGAGGGCAAGCTGCAATTTCACTCACGCCTGATGTTGATAGCACAGGTTCTGGTTCCTTGCTGGCACCAGATGCACGTTCGCATCTTTGAAAGTTTGCAACTTGAAGGTTCGTATGTAGGGGACTTACTGTATTATGAAGTCTTAGAACAATGGTATCACTTAATAGTCTTTAACCCATCATTTCCCAAAATGATTTTACTACAGCAGCCTTTGAAAGTTAAGATTTTTCACATTTGTAGATGTGGTATTCTTTGACATATACTTTGACAAACACTGGCTTTAAATATTTTAGGTTTACCTGTTTTTCAGTCATGAGTCCGTTTGATGATTTGCTGGACTCCTGGGCTTTAGGGGCTGCTGTATATAAAATTTTCTTTGTAGAGTCAAAGGAAGTAGAGGTTGGCAATAAAAAATTGTGAGTTGCCTAAATTAAGAAAAAAGTGCAGCAGGTGTTAAAGGAAATTACATCTAAAAGAACCTACTACTCTTAGGCAATTTAAGTATTCCTGTGTCAAAACTTTTATGACCTCTAAGAAAACTGATTTCAAGAATTTCATAATGTTCTCCTCCAGAAATAAAGCATTATGGGGTTTTACATACATACACACAAAGAAAACTATTTGTTTTAACTAGATAATATGAAAAGCAAGTGATGCTAATAAATAAATTGATGCAAGCTGCTTCCCCAAAAAACTAAAAGAACTGTGTCTGACCCAAAGTTACAGGCCAGTCTAACAATTCACTGGACTAATTCGAAGGGTAAATGACGTGCCCCATTCTTAGGTGGTCATTATTTATTAAGTAGCTAAGAAGCTAGCAACAAAGGATTCTGTATGGCACACACAAAGGTTTATATTAAGTATACCCTCCCATCACTTGCTCTTGTTGTCTAAGACTGTGCCACTCTGTAGGAAAATATTTCCTTGGATTTTTTGATATCTAATTGCTCCTTTGCAGAGGCACAATCACACACACACATTCATTAGCATCATGGAATCTCAGAGCTTGAGAGAACCTCGGAAATTGTTCATTCCAAAATCTATAGCTGCCCAGAGCTGGCAAGAGAGAGTGTTGGGAGAACTGTACCAGTATATCAGATGCTAAAACCATCTGAGACCCAGAGAGGTAAAATGATCTTCCCAAGATTCCTTAGAAGTAGGTCTCCCCGCTGCTAGTTCAGTATATCTTGCAAAGCACCATTGTGTCCTTTTATATCTGATTCAGATAGTGAAATCCAACTAAACAATTTACTAGCCACCAATAATTCATTTTCAGCTAAACCTAGTAACATGCTACAAATTCTCAAATTCTGCCATTTTTGCTGCTTGACATCAGAGTACTCTCTCCCCTTTAAATTCTGGTCTCCAACAACTAAGTCACCCATTATGTTCACCCCTCTGACCTTTATTTTAAATAAAGATATTTCTCAAAAATATCAGCCAACTTCAACGGCTATCACCTTTCAGCTAGTTTTTAAACTTTTCATTAGAGAAATTTTCAAAAATACATAAAAGTAGAGAAAGAGTACAATGAACCCAAGTATCCATTAATACAGGTTCAATGATAACCAACATTCTTCCATACTTGTTTCATTTCTTCCTTACCCACTTATATTTCAGTATTCATCTCTAATAAATACAGACTCTTTTTAAACATAACTTCAATACCACTGTCACACCCAATTATATTAATAATTCCTTACTCTCACTTAATATCTAGCCCATGTTCGATTCTCCCCCAAATGTCTTAAAAATGTCTTTTGGGGTTTTTATTCAAGGAATGCATATAGCATTCCTAAATTTCTTTTAATCTGTAACAATCTCACTTGTCTCCCCCACCCTCTTTTTTTTTAACCTGACATTTATTTGTTGAAGAAATAGGCCATTTGTCTTATAGAATTACTCACATTTCAGATTTGGCTTATTGTATTCTTATCATTTAACATATTTCTTCATCCCCTGTATCTCTTGTAAACTAGTTACATCTAAAGGCTTTACTAAATTCAGGTTCAGTATTTTTTGGCAAGAATACTTCAGAGGTGATGCTGTGTTCTTCCTACTGCATCACCATCAGGAGTCAGCCAGTTTTAAAGTGGGAAGAATACGTCTGTAGCAGACATAAGGGGAGTAAATATCAATGTAAGAGAATCCCCCAAGAGTGTGGAGCCACATATTCTGACAATCTCCCTAACAGCCACACCAGACTTCTTTCAAATCTTCAAAGTGTCATCTCCCTCCACGTTCTAGGCCTAGGCACTCTTATCCTCTTCACTTAGTTAACTCATACTTGACCTTCAGCTCTCGACTCATATTTCCTTCTTCAGGGAAATCTCCCCTGATCCCATGACTAGATCAGGTCCTCTTTTTATATGCTCTTCTAGCACTACAAAGAGTAAAGTATAAAGGTTTAGAGTTCAGAGTCAGGTGGCCTGAGTGACTAGCAGCTTAACCATTTATTAAACTGTGTGACATGGACAAACTCAACATCTTTGAGCCTTGATTTCTTCATCTGTAAAAGAGAAAACACAGTAATACCTATATCTCATAGGTTGAATTAAGTCAGACAACATATAGAAAGTATGTAGAACCTGAAACATAGAAACTTATAATTGGTGTCATTGCCATATATTATTAGTATGCTGAATGAAACAGATCTTACCTAATCATACCACTGTATATTATCTTAGACTTTTTCTACAAATTACACAGCTTAATTATCTGTGTAATTTGTTTTATATGAACACGTCTAGATAAGACTAAATTCCATGAGGTGAGTAGCCTACTTTTTGGTAATAGTAGAGCAGGCAACTCTGCCTCCAAAGACAATGAAAAAAGCTGAATAAACTATGTTAAAGAAATGTCTTCTTCTTAAAAGCATTAAAGAACTAATAAGATAATGAGGAATTATCAAGGGAATAAAATCAAGAAGATGAAAACTCACTTTTTCCCTGAAGGCATTTGCCAAATCCAAAGAAAAATCTGTGAAAATGAATGCTAAAATCAAAGTCACTCCCCCATTTAAAACTGTTACCTAGATGGGCTGTAACTCTCAGAATAAGGGTGAACCAGATGTAAACCGCCTCTGAAACCTAGCTTCCTCTCCTCTGGGTCGTTCTTGTATGTCAAGAAGGTCCCACATTAATAGTGCTTCCATTGATTTACCGATTTTCAAGAAAATGAATTGGTTCTTTATCTTCTGAAGATAATCCTGTTTTAAAAATCTAATATTAGTATGAGGTTGTGAATTTAAACATATTTTATACATTTCAGTTCACTGCAATTATTATTATTATTATTATCATTATTAACATTAAAATGGATTATAGACCTAAATGTAAGACCAGATACCATAAAATTCTTAGAGGAAAACATAGGCATAACACTCTTTGACATAAATTACCTCAATATCTTTTTCAATCCATCTCCTAGAGTAATGGAAATAAAAATAAACAAATGGGACCTAATTAAACTCAAAACCTTTTGCACAGCAAAGGAAGCCACAAACAAAATGAAAAGACAACCCAGAGAATGGGAGAAAATATTCACAAACAATGCGACCGACAAGGAATTAGTCTCAAAAATTTACAAACAGCTCATGCAGCTCAACATCCAAAAAAGAAACAACCCAGTCAAAAAATAGGCAGAAGACCTAAACAGACATTTCTCCAAAGAAGACATACAGGGACTTCCCTGATGATGCAGTGGTTGAGAGTCCGCCTGCCAACGCACAGGACACGGGTTCAAGCCCCTGTCTGGGAAGATCCCACATGCCACAGAGCAACTAAGCCCGTGTGCCACCATTACTGAGCCTGCGCATCACAAATGCTGAGCCAACGTGCCACAGCTACTGAAGCCTGCATACCTGGAGCCCATGCTTCTGCAACAAGAGAGGCCACTGCAATGAGAAGTCTGCACACAGCAACAAAGACTAGCCCCAGCTTGCTGCAACTAGAGAAAGCCCACATGCAGCAACGAAGACCCAACGAAGCCAAAGATAGATAAATAAATTTTTTTTACAAAAAGAAGACATACAGATGGGCAAGAGGTACCTGAAAAGATGTCCACCATTGCTAACTATTAGAGAAATGCAAATCAAAACTACGAGATATGGCCTCACACCAGTCAGAATGGCCATCATCAAAAATCTACAAACAATAAATGCTGGAGAGGGTGTGGAGAAAATGGAACCCTCCTACACTGTTGCTGGGAATGTAAACTGATACAGCTACTGTGGAGAACAGTATGGAGGGTCCTTAAAAAACTAAAATATAGAGCTATCATATGACCCAGCATTTCCACTCCTGGGCATATATCTGCAGAAAAACACAGTTCGAAAAGATACATACACCCCAATGTTCATTGCAGCACTGTTTACAATGGCCAAGACATGGAAGAAAATCTAAATGTCCATTGATAAAGAAGATGTGGTATATATAAAATGGAATATTACTCAGCCATTAAAAAGAATGAAATAATGCCACTTGCAGCAACATGGATGGACCTGGAGATTATCATACTAAGTGAAGTCCAACAGAGAAAGACAAATATCATAAGATACCACTTCTATGTGGAATCTAAAAAAAAAATGATACAAATGAACTTATCTGCAAAACAGAAAGAGACTCACAGACTTAGAGAATGAACTTATGGTTGGGGGAGCAGGGATAGATTGGGAGTTTGGGACTGACATAAACACACTGCTATATATATATATATATATATATATATATATATATATATTTTTTTTTTTTTTTTTTTTTTTT